GAATGCATTTTTAAGAACGCTCTGAAAGGAATTTACTGAAAGGACAAAATATGTGATTTAAGAAGATTTCCAAGATTCTGAGGCTTTAAAATTTGTCTGAAACTAGAACTTTTTTTTCTCCAAAATTTGTGATTAATAACAATCTTTGTGATGCAAGATTTGGAGTAAAAATAATTAAAATGTGTGATTTTGAAAAATTTTCAAAATCACAGATATGAAAAATTAAATAAATATTCTACTTATGAGTCGTGGAGTCATCATTGTCGCGCTCTGAGACTTGGAAGCATTTTAAGGGTTATAACAAATTACATAACAATCCATAGAATCTAGCGGACAAATCCTGGAATTTTTAGTAAATTTTAAAAGAATTCAAAGTGTTGATTTCAAACAAATATTGAGAAAGATTCCCACACAGTTTTCGAAGGAAAAGTTTTGAGCAGATTTCCAGATCAACTATACGCGCTGCGCGTTTCACTTCGGGTGGACAGGCGCAGGCGTATGCGTAGTGATGTTTTCCCGACATGAAAACCCTAGTAATTGTTAGATGAATTTGGAAGGATTTCAGTGGAGAAGAATGCAAATTCTAAATTAAATTGTTAGATAATTTTAGAAGATTTAAAAAGGAGTTGTCAAAAACAAAACATTGCGGAAAATTCCTACTTGATTCTGATGAGATTTGTATGGGTATCGTGAAGAAGTTTAGAGATGAATTTTAAGAAGAATTCCAAGCGAACTATGATCAGAATTCAACAAGAAACACAGTTCTTAGATTGTGCTGGCAATAATTTCAACCCTAGTGCGAAAGATTAATCACAGAACTCCAACAAAATTTATTGCAAAAAATTCTGAGAATTAGAAAGAAATTCTTTAAAATACTCCAAGGGGTTTCTTAATAAAATTTAGAAAGATTTCTGCTGTTTTGAATAGAGTTAAAATAATTTTTTGAAAATATTTTCAAAGGATTCAAAGTCTCTGGATAGGCTTAAGGGAATTCTAAGAAGCATTCCAATTAAATACTTAGAAGGAAATTCCAAAACAGAATTCAACGGCAATTATTACGCGGACTGTCTTCTGGTTTATCTCAGTACAATTTCAAGATAATTCAGAGCAGAATTCCAAGTTAATTCTGGAATTCATGTCATGAGAATTTTGAACAACGAAAAATTAAACTCCCGGAAACGAATAATTCAGTTTCGGTTTTTACAGATATTTGTTTCAAAAGTCCAGCATCTTCAATATTTTCTTTTAAGGACCATGCACTTTACATCTGAAATTGAGACGACAAAAATCAATTTTCAATATTGCAATAACACGGGAAACTGAAGAAAATTATGCAGCAAATAGAGCAAGACATTCAGATTACTCTGTTTAAATGGTTTATTCTGAAATTCTGGGGTAAAAATTTGTTCCTATGGTATGGTTAATTTATTTTTCCCGGTTCTCTCACCGAATTCCCGGGTTTTCCCCGGTTTTCCCGGTTATTTTTCAAATTCTCGGATATTTCCCGGTTTGCTGGCCAACAATGGCGGGTAGAAACCCTTTCAACACAATATAGTAGACACTCATACCTTTCAAAAAATGCAATAACAAAAAAATCGATTTTTTTGAAAATTTTGAATGAGAACCTCCCCTTAAGCAAACATTTGCAAAAGTAAATCCGAGTTGAAGCTTACCGCTATTAATGTATTCGGCACAAATACGCAATATTAAATCTATACAGATATTGATACAGATTTTTCGAAGAAGAAATGCAGATGAAAAGATTTTTATAAGCAAAAATACAGATTTGCTTTTGGCACCCTGATCAGAGATGTTATGCCTCAGAACATCCCGACGGCGCCGACTGGGATTGAACCCAGTTGACTGCTGGGGTGAGAGGTAATCACGTTTACCAATACACTACCGGCACCGCTGTTCTGACATGAAGTCCTTAGAAATTGTTAGATGAATTTGGAAGGAATTCTGTGGAAAAGGATGCAAGTTCTAAATTAAATTCTTATACAATTTTGGAAGATTTCGAAAGGAGTTGTGAAAAGAAAACTTTGAGGGAAATTCTTACGTGATTCTGAGAAGATTTGCATGGGAAATGACAGATTAATTTTAAGAAGAATTCCAATAGAATTATGATGTGAATTTAACAAGAAACGAAATTCTAAGAGTGTTCTGGGTATAATTTCAACCCTAGTGCGAAAGATTCGTCATTGAGCTCCAACGAAATCGATTGCAAAAATGCTGATAATTAGAAAGAAATTCTTTAAAATACTCCAAAATTCTAAGAAGGATTCCAATCAAATTCTTAGAAGGGGTTTAAAAAAAAAATCCAGAATTCAACAGTAACTATTAAGCGGAGTGTTTTCTGGGTTATTTCAGAAAAATGTATGATATTTCAGAGCAGACATCCAAGTTAATTCTGGAATTTATATCATGAGAATTTTGAATAAAATTGCATGGTTATTTTGATTTCGAATTGGAAACGATTCGGCTTTTACAAATATTAGTTTCCAAAGATGAGCATCTTAATTTTTTTTTTTAATGCCCATGCGCTGTACATCTGAAATTGAAACGACAAACATCAATTTGAAATATTGCTGAGTGATTAAATTCTAAAAAAAATAGATGGGAATCTTAAGAAAATTATACAGAATATAGAGCTAGAAATTCGTTTGATAAAAAATCACTCTGTTTTAATGGTTTATTCTGAAAGCAGGTATAAAAATTTGTTCCAATGGTATGATAAATTTATTTTTCCCGGTTATCTCGTCGAATTCCCGGGTTTTTTTTCCCGGTTGCCCGGTTAATTTTCAAATTCTAGGAAATTTCCTGGTATTCCCTGTTTCCTGGCCACCCTGAAAGCTACTATAAAACAACATTTATAAAACCCTAGTCAAGGCCAGGCATGGAAAATCATTTGCATTCATTTCGTGCATTCATTTACATACATTTGCCCCTAACTTTTTTCATTAACAGAATTCCGCAAAATAATGTATGGAGTTTTTGTAGATTTTGTTATTAGCTACAATTTTTGTTAAGAACTCAAATCCGTATCTCTCATGCATGACGAACCAGAGTAAACAGAATCCGCTACTGTTTTTCAGTGAATGTATTTTACATTCACTGAAAAACAGTAACGAGTTCTGCCCGCTCTAATTCGTGATGCATAAGAGATTTGAGTTAGAGGCAAAAGTTGTAGCTAATAATAAAACCTACTAAAGCTCTATACATCATTTTGTGGAATGCTGTTGTTGAAAAAAGTTAGAGGCAAATGAATGTAAATGAATGCATGAAATGAATGTAAATGATTGTCCATACCTGGTAAAGGCTGCTTTGCCATTGAAGCATCCACAAATTCCTCATTAAGACTAGAATCTGTGTAGTTGGCCCACCCTGGAGAAGATTCTGAAGGGTGTGTTCTCGAAGTTCTTCAAGATTGATTTACTGTAAAAAGGTTGTATGACGAACGCATTGAGAACCATTTGAAACCCGTATTTAAGCTACAATAAAAGTTATCTGGCATAAATAGCAAACTTTTTTGAGTTATTTTTCCTAGCCGCTTGCTAAATTCACTACGAAAGCATCAATCAAGATAGAAAATAATTCATAAATACCATCCGATCTTATCAACATAATTAAAATAAAAACTGATCGAAAAAAAGTGAAAGTTTTTGTAAGTTGCAAGACGAGGAGGTAAAGTTTGTGTATGACACATTAAAACCTGTCATAACAACTCATTACAACTAATCAATCCAAATTAATCCAATTAAAATTTACAGGTTTTATGTGTCATACACAAATGTTACCTCCTCTTCTTACATCTTACTTTTATTATTTATTATACATCTTATATCTTTATATTATTTTTATAATTTCTCATAGTTTCATAATTTCAAAAAGTAGCATTTATTCTGTAATGAGCATTCCCAAGCCTGGTGCTAAATCCAAAGTAATTTTAAATGAATTTTAAATAACTTTTTTAGTTAAGCAACTATAATTTTCTAATAAGTTACACTGAGTTCACTAAGGAGTGCTCATAGTAATTCAATAAAGTTCACCGAATTTTGAAAGAGAACTCTCAAGGTGAGTTTTAAACTCAGATCTATCCGGACAACAGCTGCACTACTAAACGCACCCAACGACTGACCGTCCGTTGCCATCAACGGTCATAGCCCACCGGAGCGCAGGGGCTCTTGGCGACTGTAGATTGTCTGATGGTTTGTTTTTCGTATATCTCATCGCAGCATAACGGCACTCACAAACGCAATTCATCCCAACTGGAGTCTTAACTTAACAGTAATGTCACCAGCTAGTCACCGCAGGAGGATCGTCTGAACCGAAGATGGACGTGGTTTCGTTTACCGTCACCATCATCATCAGCAGCAAGGAGAAAGCACTGCATTGCATAAACCCTTTTCTGGGCAAAGTAGGTACGTGCTGATGATGATGGATTTTTTTCCTTCCATTCCAGTCCGTGTTTGGACTTGCTACCGTAGTCCGGTTCCCGACCGGAGTCCTCGGGGAATCACCCGGGTGAAGCCGGGCTGTCATATGCCGCGGGAATAAAATTGCATTTCTCTTTTCGCTGATTTCACGTGTTTCGGGTAACGGTCTCTGGCAGCAAGAAATTGCGGAACAGGGAAAACGAGACAACTGTGTGACAAAGGGCCATTATTTAGCCGGCGAGCCAAAGTGGTCCTTTCGAAGAAGAAAAAAAAAATTGTCACCAATAACTACGGGTTTTCGAGCGGAAATGTGCAGTACGTTGAAGGAAGGGTGCGGGGGGAAATTAAATCGAAATTGAATGAAACTTTCTCTGCTTGTCTATAGCGAAATGTCGTTCGTTTAGGGGCACATCCTTGGTTCAAATTATCGGAACAGCTTTGAATATTCTATAGCTCTTCCGGTGCGTTCGGGAACTTTCACCCGGCACTGCATAGTGTATATTAATCACAGCAAAAGCAGCAGCATAATAACGCGTCACTTCTGTTTCTTCTTCTTCGTTTCAGAAATCAAAACAATCGTAATTTCCCCAGCGACGGCAACGGCCCACACCACGTGCAGATGAGCTGATGTCAAACGAGCAGATCCCACGGAATACTCTAGTCTTACAGAAACATTAGTTTCAATTAACTTTGACTTCGGTTCTCGATTCAACTCAAAGTTGGCGAGTGTCAGCCGCAGTCATTGCTGCACAAACAAGCCAATTCAAATGAAACCACCACGAAAGCCGAGGAGGATCAGACAAAAACGAAGGAAACAGTAAAGTGTGTTCCACTTCCCCCTTCTACCCAGAAACAGAAGCAAACTTCGCTCAAAACGTAACGCTTCCGTCCACATTAGCCTCAACATAACAATAAAACAGGACTTAACGTCGCGCACAAGACTACCGACTACCCTTCCCATCTGACCTGACGACGTTCAAAATGTTGCAACCGGTATTGCTGCCGACGTCTTGCGGGAAGAAGCTAATCGCCCTGCTGCTGGTGGAGCTGTTGGCGGCCACATTGGTTGTCGGATCCGTCGCGTCGACAGCGCCGCAAAAGTACAATCCCAACGCGGTGCGGATTAACAAGTGCTGCGAACGGTTCGAGGTCATGCTCGATGGCAAGTGCATCGTTGCCGAGAGCATCAATGAGAGTGAGTATGCAGGCGGGATTAAGGTTTTCTGATTGGAAATTATGGTGTGGTTTAAAGTTTTCTAGTGAGCGAAATTGGCTTGATAAATGACTTCTCTTTCAATATATACGCTTACAATTTCATGGAAGCAATCTAGCAAAACATTCTAGTTGGGTGTGTGAAAGTGGTCAGCATTTTCTGGGTGAGTGTCCAGAACTTTCTGGAAGAGTTGCAAGAACGCTTTGATAGATTGCTCACAATTCTCCGAAAGAGTTTCCAGAACTCTTCGGGAGAGTTTACTGAACTCTATAGAAGGGTTCTGGGAATTAGACCGGAGAATATTGGAAACTCTCTCGGAAAGTACTGGGAACTGTCCCAGATAGTTGTTCTTGGAACTCTCCAGAGCACGGCCGTTGAGAATAGCTCAAACTTGAGTAGGTTTCCAGCAATTTTGGTATTGAGTGGGGTTACTCATGCACTGACTGATCCGTATTCTAAATTTGAGTAAACGCAACTCAAAAATGGCTGAAATTGAGAAACGTTTACTCTATTATGAGTACCGCCTACTTAAATTTAAAACTTAATTGCACCGCTTACTAAATTGTTGAGTACCGTTTCAGGGTGGCAAATGATAAGTTCATACAAAATTCCTTAATTTTTTTCAGGTACCGAAACTGAATCTTTAGGTTTACATTGTATGCTGGTTTTCAATAAATTTCTCTCAGAAAACATCTGCAGTTTATTCCAAAAATCTGTACAGGGGAAATGGATGTAATGTCGGCCTAAATGCACCTAATTTTAGCTCATACATAAATTCAGCAATCGACTAAATTTTCAATAGCGACCAAAAATATCCATATCCCAATGACGCGTTCATCTAGACAAAATTGATAAATAGCAGATTTTTAGCGATGGGAACAATCTTAGATCCATAAACCAACATTAGAGCAATTTCCCTTATATAAAAATGAATGTCTGTCTGTCTGTCTGACCCTTATAGACTCTGATGCAGGGATTTTGGGACAGGGAAAGGTTCTTATGATGGTTCGAGACCCCTCCCCCTCTGTAAAGGGGGGCTCCTATACAAATGAAACAGAAATTTCTGCATAACTCGAGAACTTATCAAGCAAATGGAACCAAATTTGGCATGTGGAGGTCATAGGGGGTAGCCCCTTAGATAAGAGGGGGGGGGGCTACGTACAATATAGCATGCTTTTTTTAATTGGCGCATAAACTAAAGCTAATATTAAATCCCGAGCAAGGCCGGGCACACTCAGCTAGTAAAAAATAAAAATCACTCTAAAACTACCTTAGAATTCTGAATGATTCTTCCTCCCATACTTCTATTTAAAAATCGAATTATTATAAGTTCAATGAAATTCACACCACAAAAAAAAATCTCGTCTGAATTCTGCTGAAATTTCACACAGAATTTTTCTCAGAATTCACATGAAAATTACATCAAAATAACTAAAAATTCTTCCCGGAATTATCCTTAGAACTCACTAGAATCTCTTGGCATAATCCTTTTGGAATAGTACGCTCAGCATTAATATACCTTGGTATTTTTTTTCCGAATTTCTTTGCAACTCTCTTTCGAATTCACTAGGAGCTATCATCTGAATTTGATTTTAACTCGCCCCCTTTTTGGAACTACCCTCAGAATTTAATATCTTTGCAGCTCTTTTCAGAATGTCCATAGAATTTGACTCATAATATAACTCTCTTGGAATTCTTCTAAGAACTTATTTGGCATACTCATTAAAGTTGGACCTGACAATCGTTATGCAATTTTCCACAGAATCCTCTAATAATGATTCCCAGAACTCTCTTATAAATTCTCCTGGCGCACTTTATACAATTGCCTTAGAGTTTTTCCCAAAATTGAGCGGGTGCTTGACCGTAATTATTATTTTCGGAAATCGGATTTTATCTTAATACAGAAATACAGAAATAGGGATGGAGGAACAAGTACGCAAAAGAAACAATATTCGAGACGTGTTGATCAGAAATCCACATAAAATCCTTCTTAAGAGCAGTTGTTGTTGTCTTCTATGAGGTGACCGCCAGGATCGATATCTAATAACAGCAAATTGAACGGGAGCTTGATCGTAATTGTGACATAAGAAGCTCGGTGGCCTTGTGGCGACCAATTATGCTTACTGAGCAGAAGACCGTCGGTTTAAACCCAAGCTGCTTCACATTATAGAGTTATAGTGTAAATAGGTTGTTTCATTAATATGGAACAAAGCGTATTGAAATTCAGTTGGAGTAACGAGTACGTAAAAGAAATAATATTTTAGTTTTAGGGAAGACCAGTTGATCGGAAATATGTATCAAATCCTTTTTATTTTTCCTTGATTGGTTTTCCGTCGAGCTTGTTTTCCGTGCTGAGCACCAATGCTACCGACGACAGGTAGACAGTTCCTAAACCTGGGCCCTACCTATCGACCCATCAACTCATGTACCGGGGACCAACTGGGATTGAACCCAGACCTGCTGGGGTGAGAGGTAATAACGCTTACCACTACACCACCGACGCCACTACTATACTGCCCTTTTCAGCATAGTTGTCCCATTCGTTAAAACAGCAAGCTGAGAAAAACGCGCTTGAAGATTTTTTTCTCCATGGGCTCTTATGGATGGGACAACATAGTTTTGTTATTTTTCGCGACATTTTCTGAACAAAGTAGGATTTTTTTCGTGTACAATGTAAAGTGATGGTACTTGACAATCGATTCCAATGTATAACTCATAATCGCCAAAAATGCTAATGGGACTGTTATGCCGCACAGGGCAGTATACGTTATGTATCAAATCCTTGTCATTAGTAGTTATTATCGTCGTCGATGAGGTCGCCGCCGGGATCGAAATCGAGTAACAACAACGGAAACTTGATCGTAATTGTTTTGTGATATAAGGCGCTCGGTGGCCTGTTGACGACTAATTTTGCTTACTGAGCAGAAGACTGTGAATTCAATTCAAAGATCCATGGCGCTATTGAATCTTTAGGACATCAGATCAGCATATCGTTTACCAAAACGAATCCTGCTGTAATCCCAACCCTTTTATCCAACATCGCAGCGATTTTTTCGTGAAAGTGCAGAGGTGTTCTCGGCTTTCATTAAAGCGAGTACTACGTCAACATGTTCCAAACCATTCCTTTCTTAACCAGCATTCGGACGTGGGCGGCACTGGTATTGCCTAGTTTAGGATCGCCAGTATTTACACATTGCTAATCCCAAGCAATGTCTATTGGTTCTCTGTGTAATTACAGCTGATCTGGCAATAACGGAGCTGCATCCTCGAGCGGTCAATCATGCTCATCATGCATGGAGTTTTTTTTTAATTACCTTTGAGATTTTCTCTAAAAATAACTTGGTGTTATCCCTAGAATGCCTCCTAAATGATCAACAGCTCTGTTGTTGTTGTGATGAAATTAGCGTTGTTGTCTTTATCCTATTTTGAAATTTAAGCGCATGTCTATAATTCTTGATATTGAAACTCTTTGCTGTTGGACCCCGGGAGAATCATCGCCATCCTAGAAGGGGACGTGACTAGACCCCTAGCTGCTGGTCGAAGCCTGTCGGCAGCCACTGGGGTGGGCACCAAAGGACTCTTTTGTTCGCGGCGAGGGGGAATTTTCGGTGTAAGCTGCCCTAATTAACGCAATGGATGAATTTACCTTGACCAGGCATGGATAATCATTTACATTCATTTCATGCATTCATTAACATTCATTTGCCCCTAACTTTATTCATCAACAGAATTCCGCAAAATGATGTATGGAGCTTTTGTAGGTTTTGTTATTAGCTACAACTTTTGCCAGAAACTCAAATCTGTATCTCTTATGCATCACGAATTAGAGCGGGCAGAACTCGTTACTGTTTTTCAGTGAATGTAAAATACATTCACTGAAAAACAGTAGTGGATTCTGTTTGCTCTGGTTCGTCATGCATAAGAGAAATGAATTTGAGTTTCTGGCAAAAGTTGTAGCTAATAACAAAACCTACAAAAGCATCATACATCATTTTGCAGAATTCTGTTGATGCAAAAAGTTAGGGGCAAATGAATGTAAATTAATGCACTAAATGAATGCAAATGATTTTCCATGCCTGACCTTGACAATGTTTATTGGGCGGATCGATCTGGTCTGCTGTACGAGGCGACGTTGGCTGTCACGACGGCGGAATGGAACAGCCGAATGGCAGTGGCTGGATGGCGGTGGTCGGATGGCGGTGGCCGGATGGCGGTGGCCGGATGGCGGTGGTCAGTTCGCGACGATGGCGCACAGTGTCCGACTGTTGTCCGCTGATCGTCAATAGCGGTCCGGACGATGCAGGGGATTGGCGATCGGCCGGTTGACGAGCGGTCAATAAGTAGATCCCGCGACACGTGACCAACGATGAAGCACTGTGATTGACGGTTGTTCGCTGATCGTCAAGTGCGGTCCTGAAGATGTAGGGGATTGGCGATCGACCGGCGGTCAATTTGTAGATCCCAATACACGTGGCCAGGCATGGCAAATCATTTACAATCATTTCGTGCATTCATTTACATTCATTTGCCTCTAACTTTTTTCATCAACAGAATTCCATGAAATAATGTATGAAGTTTTTGTAGGTTTTGATATTAGCTACAACCTTTTAGAATAGCTCAAATCTGTATATCTTATGCATGATGAACCGGGGTGAACAGAACTTACCTATGTTTTTCAGTGAATGTTAATTACATTCACTGAAAAATAGTAGCAAGTTCTGCCCGCTCTAGTTCGTCATGCATAAGAGGTACACACAGAGATTATTTTACTGGGGTCAGTAATTTTTTACTGGGTTTTCAAACAGCTGAAAAAGTCAGTAAACTGAAAATAACGGTCACACGTAATGCAACGAACAATTTTAACATATTTTATTTTTATCATCAAATAAATGTAATAAGAACACAGTCTGTATAAATTTCAAGAAAAAATCACTTTTATACAATTTTTTACAATTTTTTTAAGTTTACTGACTTTTTCAGCT